ATAGACCGCCTACCACCAAGGGGTGCTCTACGTTCTCATGATAGACCACCTATCACCTATGAGGCCCTCAATGCTCACCTAGGCCGTCTACCACTACGCGGTCGTCGACCCCCATGAGGCCTTCTACGTTCACACATGTAGCAACCACCATGCGGCCAATGCTATACTTAACCATACAAATAGCAATGAGCAAGACGGAAACCACCCAACGACGAACGTGGGGCATAATCAACTGAATGATGAGTGGAGGTTACCACCATAGGGGAAAGTGGGAAGGTTTACGTAGGACACGTGGCACCAGCAACCGCCGAAGGCGTAGCAACAGGTGCCTATAAATACCTCCAAGGTGAGAAAGGTAGTTTCCTCTTGGAACTCGAACTTATTGAATGCTCATATACTCTCTGTTTACTCCCTAAAACCGACTACTAATTCTCACGCTGGAGGTACAACGGGGGACAAAGCCTCGACCTCATTTTGCAGGTAACATTCGTTGATTTGAGCAACCGGAACACCCCACACGTCATCATCATCGTGGAGGTAAATTTTGTGATTATTTCATGCTTCTGGCTATTGATGATGAGATAAATTTGAATGAAAATTGTTCATATGATGAATTATCTATTTTTTATGATGAAATTCTTGAAAATTTTGAAAACCTCGCTTTAAGTCGAATAATCATTCGAACCTCAAAAAAGAAAATTTTTTTATTGGAAATTGAGGTAAATGAACTTTTAAAAATTGAAAATGATTTTGAAAAATGAATAGTTGATTATGATTCTTTAATTAAGGAGAATTCTTCTTTACAAGAAATGATTTTAGATTTGACTCAAATTATTCACAAATTTAGTCTAGGTAAGAAAATTTTTTATTTAATACTTGGTGAGCAAAAATGTGTTTTTGATAAAAGATGAATTGGATATAAACCATTTTTGAAACAAAAGTCTCTTAAAAATTTCTTTATTAAAACTTCCACTTCTTCTATTTCAAATATCACGTGTAATTTTTACAATAAAAATGGACTTGTAGCTTTTTATTGTTCTATCAAAAAGAGATTACATTATGAAAACAACTATAAGTGGATTCAAAAATCCACTAACACTAACTACCGAGGACCAAGGATGTATGGGTATCAAGACCAAAAATTAAATTATTTTTGTAGGTACCAAGGAAATTAGAGAGCAAATAGACCTAGGATAGTGGGTGCTCAAAACACATGACCAGAAATCAAACTTTATTGTCAAGTTTCAAAATAAAGGATGACGATCATGATACTTTTGGAGATAATGCGAAAGGAAAAATCATTGACATTGAAATTATTTGTAATCATTCATCTCCCTTTATTGAAAATGTCTTCTTAATAAATAACCTTAGACGTAATTTACATAGTTTTAATCAATTGTGTAATGAATGTTATCATATCAAATTTGATTTGATTCTTCCAAGTGCATTATTGAGGATACTATATCAAAAAAAGGTGATTTTATAGGAAGTTGAAGTAAGAATGTTTATGTCATAAACACTAAGTTTGAATGTGGAGAAAAATGTTTATCAAATTTAAAATATGACACTTGGTTATAAGATAGAATATTAGGTCATGTTCGTATGGATCTACTTTCAAGATTTTCAAAAAATGTTTTGTTGGTTTGTCAAGTTTGGAAATTTGAGAAAGATAAAATTTGTGATGGATGGAAAACAAGTGAAGAGTTCTTTCAAATCAAAGCAACATTCTTTAACTACAAAATCTTTTTTCTCCACGTGAATATTTTTGGATCATCTAGTATCGCAAGCTTAAATGGTAAACATTATGCTTTCATCATTATTGATGACTTTTCTAGATTCATTTGAGTCCTATTTTTGAACCTAAAAATGAAGTATTGAATGCATTTGAACATTCTTGTAAAAAGGTTCACAATAAAAGGGATACACTACTACTATTATTAAGAGTGATCATTGTAGAAAATTTGATAATATTGCTTTTGATGATTTGTGCA